AACAACCTATCGCTGAACAAACATGCAGAAGAAAGTGGAGATGGATTGGTCATGCACTGAGACCATTCGGAGACATCATGCGCCAGGCCAGCCGCTCAAATGGAACCTCGATGGGAAGCGACGAGTAGGGCGTCTGAGGGTGACATGGAGGAGATCATACGATTAAGAAATGAGAGCTTTTGGGCTGTCGTGGAGCCAGGTTCAAAGGATTTCAGAGAACAGAGTTCACTTGAGACGTGCTACTGAAACCCTATGTTCCAAGGGACAAATAATAATATAACAGCATCGGATGTACTGAAGAATCTTCTTACCGGATCAATCAATAGAACTTTCTTCTCAGCAAGACTTCAGTTGACTTTTACCAGCCGCAACCTATTCTCTGCCTGTGTTAAAGATAAGCTTCCTCGTTTGACCGCCCCTGTACATATACCAGTTCACCTGCTCCTGTGGAGCAAGGTACATCGGCCGTAGCCAGAGAACATGTTCCTGCTTAGTTTTATAAAGGTGAAAGAAAGTCTGTTAGAAGTTCGATTCTAGGGCATTTGATTGACTTCCATCACACAAAAAATCCAGACAATGACTTTAAAGTTATTTATCGAATTCGCCCAAACCTCCAACGTTCTCTTCTTTTTCAACTACTTTAAACAGCGGAGGCTTTAGCTATTCATGAACTATAACCCGATCTGTGTGTACAAAAGAAGTATATGAAGTCACTGTTTTCATCATGGTGATAACATTCCCCCCCCGCACTTTGTTAATTTAACCGTTGTAAACGCCTTCACTTTAATTAGTTTCCGGTGTTATTTCACTTAATTGTCTTCTGAGAAAATATTGATTTCGTCCTGTCCAACTTGTCTAATGCTACTACATAATAATTAATCGATTTACCATTTCCAACCCCTTGTGAGTTATATGCTTTCTATGAACCATTCCATATGTATTACATAATCTATTTGTTATCATTCGCACTTCAGTTGTTATTATAATCATAAATGCCTATGTCATCACCCGCTCTATTATTATTGTCCCCATCATATGATGTTTAGTTTTCCTCACAGGATATAATTTTTCAAATATCACATATATGTACGATTGTACAGCTTGAAAATAAATTCGCTGAAAATCTCTTGGCTGAATATCTTGTTCTTGATGTTACAATGGGAATTATAAAATTATTGAGACATCGTGTAGTGTGCTGCCAAACCTAGATTAACTTTCTCTACTTACCTACCAATGATTCGATTATGTACAAAGTATAAGCTGATCCCTGGTTACCTTGATGTGCAGTTATCAATTTGTTTGCTCCAGTACAGTAGGATATATTGGCTGTAATTACCGTTCACCTTGGGAATGGATTTCCAAAAATATACCAGCCTGGTTCCATCAAGAGGAAATGAGAGCCTCGAGCAGCTATATTTTCGAACATTTAATGGATTTCGCCATTGGGTGAAACGCAGAAAACAACATAAGTGTCATCTATAGAGTTCGTGTATGCCTAGCGAAATCTGTGCACCTTGAAAAGTCCTTCAAACTGCGAAAGCCATGACAATGAATATTTTGAAGTCTGAAATTTGTCCGGTTAATTGAGTTGTAATATACATGACCATTGAGAACATTTTACCCTGAAAGTCTTTTCTTTCATATTGCACACATTACATTCTTCAATTCTGCCTTCTCATTACATTCAAAAATCCGTTCAACCATACTTCATCATTTAAACTGGTAACCAAACATTACTTCCGTCTTGATAAGTCTCTTCATCATTATCATTCCAACCATTACGTAACTAGTCTTCCAAACTGAGTCATCGGGTCACGTTTTTCTCTTCCTCTCTATATTCTTGTGGTCACCACCAAACTCACACTGCTCTACACGCCCCCTGCAACAACGTACCTACTTTTCTACAGGCTAGACGAAAACGTATCGACTTTTGGTCGTTACAAACATGTGGATAAAATATTCAAATATGTAATTGGGAATACCGCTGAGAAGAGTGACTCTTCATCAAACGTATTTTGTCCCATGACCTAAAATGGACTTTTATACTGCTAATACATGCTTATATATAAGTATTCAACTCGATCGAAATCAAATATGTAAAGCCAGGTCGCAATGGACTTCTGTTTCGTTTTATCAACGTACAACTCAGGAGTGGTTGCATACATTACCATCAGGACTCACGGTGAACAAGTGATTTCTAATTCAGGGAACAGTGGCTTTTCAACTTCCATTATTCCATAACCATATCTCAATGCGATGGACAGGTAAACGTCTCCACATCTGACCCAGCAGTTTCCAACTTAGCATTAGAACTTTGAGAAATCCAATCTAAAGCAAGTCGAAAAAGGAACACTTCAGAAATGTCAACACGTGACCCTGAGGTTAAGCACTACTTTTCGAAGAAAACGGCCACGTGGAAATACTACACTTGATGAGTCACATCAATTTACCGAGATGCAGGAGCTAGCCACCTAGGAGATTGTGAATGATAAACGCAAAATGATGACCTATCAGCTTAGGAAGTCTGATGCTATTATAAATATGGAATATCACCGAAACTTAGGTGATCGATTTAGCGGAATTATTCGCTACTACGTTAGCCTGAAAAAAAAATGATGTAGAGACATCTACTTGGAGGAGTAAATGTATCGAAGTATTTTGAATTTTTGTCACTGAAATACCAAAGTGAGACACGTTTACCTTTTCAATTTGTTAGTATCGTTGAAACGTATTTCATTTTTCAATATTAAGCGGTTCATGATGATGATCGCTTTTGGTATTGTTTACCTACACCAGAAATTTCTAATAAATCACAATTGAAAATCCTCTAGTACTGGAGTGAACTATCAAGCTAACCCTAAAACTGGTGAGAAACGACTTTACAAAATGATGTCGAAATCTACTCAACAACCTTGCGCACACTTGAACAGTACGTGAGGGCTAACGACAATACTACCACCATCTACCTGCACAAATCTCGATAAATAGAGCAGTGCTCGAATCCATGACCAGTTGTTGATTGAATACCAACTCCTTAAACCAAAGAGCCACAATTCTACTCACAAAATGTCTATCAAACTGTAACTCTGATTGTTACACTGGGTAACATGAGTCCGGAGCTTAACTCGAGGTTGTCGATCCACCTTGCCGATAAGTGTTAAAAAACATGAAACCTAGAGCATCAAACGGAGATTCCAAAAACTGACTGATATATTACACTAACAACAATCGGTACGTCTAGACAGATGAAAAAATGTAAAACTAATTGTAAACATATTTGTTTCTTTATTTGATAAAGTTGGTTGAATAAATAGATCGATTTTTACTTTAAAAAGGTAAATGAATGAGTGACGTAAAGATTTTCTACGGAAGGCTAACCAATTTCATGTTTCCTAAAGATCCTTTTTTAAAATGTGGTAGACAAACAAGGAGACAAAGTATCAAGATTCACTTTGATAGACGTTATCTGGTTGGAAGCTCCGTTTCATGCTCTCGTAAATCGACAATCTCAAGCTAACCTATGTCATCTGTGAGATTTAGATTAATCTTACTCAGTGTGGAAGATCCCACCCCTCCGGCACGCGTTCACAGCCTTCACGTGGCGAGGGTGACTTCACAGACGTTAAAACCGGAAAAGCGAATGTCCAGCGCATACCATCAGATTGCTGGATACTGAGGACCCACCAAGGGGAGTTGCGAAATCCTCACTCCAAACCAACAGTTCTCATCGGTTTCCAATGAAATCAATAGCGTATAAACCGATTTTGGTCACCGACAACCACAGGAATACGGCTCGGGGAGTGAGCCTCTAAAGTATGGCGCACTTCTCGGTCAAGATGATTTGTGGCGACCATACTGAACACATACAGATGCAGTCTCAAGATGCACTTTGATAGATGTTATCTGGCTGGAAGCTTCGTTTTATGCTCTCGTGAGTCGACAATCTCAAACTAACCTATGTCATCTGTGAGATTTGGACTAATCTTACTCAGTGTAGAAGTAACCCCCACCGCCCTGGTACGCGTTCACAACCTCACCCAGAGAATTTCTATTCACTGCCTTCACAGATATTAGGGTTAGGGCACAAGCGAATGTCAACCGCTTACTATTAGATTCGTGGATACTGAGAACCCACCAAGGGGAGTTGCAAAATCCTCACTCCAAACCAACAGTTCTCATCCGTTTCTTATGAAATCAATAGCGTATGAACCTATTTTGGTCATCGGCAACCATGCCAATGCAACTCGGGGAGTGAAACCCTAAGACAACCATCTGCCACAAAGTATGGCGCGTTTCTCGGTTCCACTGCTGTACCACATTTGTTTTCTAATAATAATCATAATAAATTCAAGTGGTATGCTATTCTCTCAGCTGAAAATATCACCAATCCACTTGGATGAAACATGTTCATCACAAAATATCAAAGATCACAGAACCATCAATCATCCATCATTTCAACACCTATTTATTTAACTGTTGAAACCTTGGTAGTAGACAGTACAATTGGATTACTTAACCTATTCGCCTAAAAACCGACTAATCAAACATTAACCCCGTAGTGTGATGTCATCAAACATATGACAAAACAATCCAGAAGTCAAGATGATATGTGAGCATTGTGGCGACTATACTGAACACACACACACACACAGAGGTGTGTACAATGAGTATATCATCACCGATAAACTACACATTGTCATACAGAACGACAAGCTAAATTGTCGTAAATGAAGCAGTCCGATTGGAATGACTAGTGACACAATGCATACACATTGATCGGAATATTAAATTATCCCATTGACGAAAAACAATCAAGTGGTACTCAGACAGACCAGTCATACCATAATAATAATAATATACAATTAAGCGTTATTGAAAAAGACACCACACAAACACACAGAAAGTTATGCAACATAACTAGCATGCACACAATAAGGCATAGATGATTAGTTAAAACGAAGGAACATAGAAGAAACAATTTTACAAACAAATTGATACCTCTATTTTTTACATGTGGTTTGATGACCTGATGTCAATTTATGTACAATTTGAATTTGATGATTAGGTATAACACATGTTTGAGTATTGATACGATTCGATGATGTATGTTGAGTTGATGTAGTGGAGGGTATAACATTCACAGCAGTGACGGCGTCAGCGGCTGCAACAGCAGCAACATCTTGATTTGGATAAGTTACAGAGACAACCAATTTAGTTGGATCTTGATGTGATGAACAACTGACAATTGGTGTTAAATGTGCTCCAACTGTCACAGGGATTTGTAATGACACACTAGAATGTGAAGAAACTGATGAAGGTATTGTATAGGTTGGTGTTTGTGGGGTATTTTCATCTAAAACAACTGTTAATGTATTCGGTACACCTATAGGAATTAATTTTGCATTCTCAGATGATGCATCATAAGATAATTTTGGAAAAACATTAGCTATTGAAACAATAGGATTATGGCATACCTGAAAAGTTGATGAAGATTGTGATATATTATTCTGTTGAGTAGGGGATACAGATGTATTTCCAATTGAAGCAGCCAATGTATCTATTGAATGATTCATCTAAACATGAATGTAGAAAGAAATTGAATAAAGTTGAATACAAATACACAAACAGGGATCTTAATTCATCAACATTAAGACGATAGTTAACCAAGATAAGATAATAATGAATGAAGTAAAGTGCTTATCGTTATTGAATGTTAACGAATTCACATGAGAGTACAAGACGATGCTACAGAGAAATGTGCAATAGTTCAGCTTACCGTATCTTACAATAGCGAGAAAATAGAGAAAACAATACTTTATAAACCGAAAGATTTGAGAGGATGGGATGTTAAAACATCTGTACTATTTAACCGTTGATTACTAACGATTCACTGACCTAAGCTAGAGACAGTCTGCAATTCTCTATAACACTCGCGCACGCCTTTTATGGAGTTCAGGGTGATTATCATAAATATTTTGCTTTTGTCTAGCGATTTGTAACATTGTGAAAGACACTACTACTACTGAACGACAACTTGAGTAGTATAAGAACTAATCTGGTTGATCTAAAGATTGAACAAACGTTTTGCTCCAACCGACTTGTTGGGGGGTACCATAAAGAGGTAGAAAGATATTTAAATTAAGTCAAAACAACTATCAGAAATGGGTGGGCGGAAAAGAGAGAGAGAGAGAAAACACGAATAAAGGTTATGAAAACATTCCGAGGTGTACACTGAAAAAAGGAGTCATCAGAATATCTCAGCTATAAGAAAGTAATGATTTCTCAATAGTGTACACATTTGAATTGCCTGATCACTGTCGGCAGATGAGCATCGATTTATCATTCATACAAACCAACATAGCATCAGGTATTCTTCCGTAACCCCGCCTCATCTCATCACCACATCAAGTAAAAAGGCAGCGAAGTGCAAAATAAAAAAATTCAGTTAAAAGAAATATAAACTACCAAAAGACAGAAAACGAAGAAAGAATGAGGAAATGGCGAAATTCCGTATAGCATCGTTAACATGACGATAATGTGTGTCGGGATACATCTGCGCCACCAACATCCGTTCTCAGCCATATCACCTACAGTCAGTCAGTCAGTCAGTCTCCAACCACTGGTTCCTCTTGTCCCACGGACACCAACCACCACTAGTCTGCATCACCCCCACATGGCTCAAACCAACAGTCAAACACTCCATACATTGGTGCCATGTTTTAGTCTGGCCACCTCCACCCTTTTCCCAGCCTGGAACAACTTCCACCAACATTGTGTGACGAGGCAATCGGCAACTAGGCATACGTAACACGTGTCACAACCATCCATCTCAATCGATCAAGGTTCATAACATCGTCAACTGATTTACCTCTACTCCCTCGCTAAAACTCTATACCTCACTTCTGCATTACTCACCTGGTGACACCAAGGAATACGGCCTATACACTACGAAGGCAACGGTGGTCAAACACTTGAAGCCGCCTTCTCATGTTTTCCACCTTCAATGGTGATGTTTCACAGTCATAGAGTAGAACAGAGTGGACTGCTGTGCAGTACACATGACCCTTAATAGATAACCGGATATCGCGGCGGCGCCATAGGTGGCGTAAGTTGGCGAAAGCCAATCGAGCCTTTTGTATCCGTGCAGAGATTTCATCGGCAACTGACCCACCGGGAAACATGGGTTGATCAAAGAGGTTCTCACAAGGAATTATAAAGATAAACAGAGCAATACAGAGAACCTTGTATAGAAATGAATCAGTTCCAAACAAACAAATAGAGGCGAATATAACAGAAAAAGTGGACTACGGTGGTGTATAATATGAGTGTGAATAAAGAAACGTATTAACAATTTGAGGCCTTTGGTTGGTTGACTGAGAAGTTCGATGATAATGCTTCTCGTATAAAGCGGTGCCGAAGGTGTTGTGTTTAAATACTCGCTGAGATATTCGAGTCTATGGTGAGGTATCACGTGAGTTATATGCGTCAAGGATGTTTACTACTACCACCACAACACTACTTATTTAATTTCCTCACAGAAGTATTTCTAGAGGTCTTGCTCCTCTCTGTCTATCTGACTTCAGCATAATCGACTTAGTCACAATAGATTCCTTGGTAGACACCAAAAGTACGCGGACAACGCTGTCAACATGTAGATCCCTCTGGAAACCTCAAGTGAAGTTGTGAATGGCTACAATGCGTATTACGCCTTCATCGTATACTGCTAGCTGAATTATGTTACGTTAGGGTTGCGAAAAAAAGGGTCGAAAACGACTGGATTAAGACATGATATCAGCTTGAACTGCTATACAATTTCGCAAAAGGACTGATTACCTTTGAGTAAGAAATCAGTCCTTGACAATGAATTTATTTCCCCATTGCAGGGGTTTCTAGTAGACAATCGTTACTGAAGTGATTCCTTATTGGTTCATTGGTTCACGGTGGTCAAACCAAGACACGACATCAGCGTATGAAATCTCTAACTGTTGATCTGAGCCGTGTGGAGAGATATAAACTTTTTGGTTAGGGTCAGTATATGCATAGTACTATGAATATACCCTATCCAAGAAATCGACGAAAATTGAACATCTAGGTGTTTTTTGAAGATGACCAGAAGTATCTCATCTATTCCTACCTCAAACAAAGTTATTTAGCTACCTTTTTGTTATCCAGTTATTTAACAAGAAAAGATGATCTAAACATATTGTAATATAATCTTCTAGTGGTCAATGCTGGGCGCCGAATGGTGAGATATTCAAATATACCTAAGAATGAGTATACTGAGATCCAGTTCCTTCTGTCCTGTTGTACGATTGAGAGACATGATCGTTAACAGTAGACAACATGAAGTGGTATACAGATTTTTGACGATATGCATCTTTGTAGTATTCCTCACATATAATAGGATTACCATGTGAACAATGTTGAGATCAGATGAAGGGGTACTAGGCAAAGAAGGTGGAAGTGGACCGATGACGTTTTGAACTTTCAGAGACTGAGATAGCTTCAACGTGTACTACGCATGTCAAGCCACTGTTGCCTATCTCGACATACTATGCAACAGAAGGTTGGATTAGGTTGGAAGAGGCTTCATGGTGGCTAGACCAAGGATTTTCTTTTTAATATAAGGCGATGGTTATGCTATGTGGTGAACTGACAGAAGTTGAAAATATATACTACTGAATCCTGCCGACCCAGTCGCTAGCTTAATGGTAACGTATTGACCACCAAAACCCAAAGGTGGCGAGTCGAACTCAGGGGTTGGTCGCACATTCCTGAAGAGTCCCATCCTAGGACGAAACACTTGACTGTCTAGTGCTTACAAGTTTCCAATCTTTCTCCAACTGATGGTAATCTATGATGAGTACCAAGTTGAAGAATCTCTAAATCCCCCAAATACCCAAATTCTATACGAATTTTACCGGCATGTTTTAGCACACCATATTTATATACTATCAACATAAGAATGGAGCTGCAACCCAAACATTTCTGGTAATGATCCTTCTGGAGGTTCACCTACGGAAATCTTGTCACAACTTTTACTTCCTCTAAATAGTCAAATTAGGTCGTCTTCTCAACATCAGTGAAGTGGCAAGCCACTTCGACGACACCAAGTTAACGACTTCACTAAACCATTCAGTTGGTAGTAGCGACAGGCAGTGTGCACAAAGAGCAAAGATGTAATCAGGAATTAACAGGAATTCCTCGTTCATGGAGAATAATTGCAAGTCATGACGGTGACGAGACAGTTCGCTCAACCCTGGCACCGTCATTGTAGGGCACGCGTAGCCCTCAGACATCTAAAGGCATCACAGACTTGTTATTACTCAATTTCATGAGACTTGAGTGTACCGCTCGTCCTTCTACGAGGTAAAAACTGGCACTGTAACCGCCGGAAGACGACCACATCACTTCCATAAAGAAACAGTGTAGAAGCCGCATCCTGAAGGAGGACAGAGGATTAGTCTACTATTTAGTAAGGTTAAAGTTTAGTTCGTTATCGGAATTAACTATACAAATCACTTCACCAACCAAGAACGGTCACATAACAAGATTTCTAATGATTACCATGTTACTATGAGGAAAATGGGAAGACGAATAAATATTTATCATACCTGATGTTGATAGTAATTAGATATACCAGTTTGTTGTTGAGAATTCAATGCTTGTGGATGATGATGTTGAATTAAGGCAGTTGCTTGAGGCAGCTGTGGAGTACTTTGGATTTGAACAGCCGTCAGTGTTTGATTTGACGGAATAGTTATACCATCAGTAGAGATTGTATTCGCTGAGGCGATTTTTGGAAATAAGGAGTGTAAGCTGAACCATCACCACCATCACTTCCATCACCTAGAGCACTGATGGTTGCTGAGTTCTGTTGATTATTAACCGATGTCGGTGAAGATACATATACAGATGGATTCGTTTGATTTTGTGCAGCTGCTGCTACAACAGCTGCAGCTGCTTGAGCAATTGAAAAAGGTACACTACTAGATTGAGATGAATTAGACGCTGAAATAGACGAAGAAGAAGAAGAAGAAGTAAGTTTGGATTTATTGTGTGCTTCAATGATTTTGTAGCAGATTCCGCCATACGAGCAACTACAGAGACACGTTTACTAGATTGACGTAATCTAGCATTCTGTTCTAAGAGTACTTCATTTGCAGCTCTTAAATCACCACGTTGACGTAATAAATCGAATAGTTTACGACGTAGACGAGCATTTTCAACTTTTAAAGCATACTGTTGTTGTTTAAGTGATGCTGAAGTCAGATGAATATTTGATACAGTTGATGAAGTGTATAAAGAACGTTTTCTCTTAGCTGAATACTTTGATGATATACTATGAGATGAATGTTTAATTGATGAAGTTTGTGGAACAGATAATTCATACAGTACATCATCATCATCATCATCATCATCATCATCATCTTCATCATCATCATGATCATCATAATCAGGATAAACAAAGTCTGGATCATCACCTTCATCATGTCCATTATATTCTTCACTTAAAATTGATGTCGGTGATACATTTGATATAGGTCGTCGTTGTCTGCGTCTAGTAGTTGTAACTATGATAGGACGATTACTATTATTATTATTATTATTAGTAGTAGTAGTAGTAGCAGTACTATTAGAAAGTTGAGTTGAAGAGTAACGACGAAATTTCTGTTTAATACATAACGGATTTCTATATCTTAACGACGATGATGATGATGATGATGACTGAAATCTTTTCATACCTACTTTTGATTTCTTCGAAGAAAATAAAGAAGTTGATACTGTATTATTATTCATACTTTGATAATTATCCATTGAATTGTATTTATGATTATTATCCTTTAACAAATAAGTGAATAAGCTTCGTTTTTCATCTTTTTGACAATGAGATTGTATAACTGGAAATGATTTTGATCGCATTTTCAATATAATTCCATAAGTTGATTTCGATGGTATAGAACTAGTTGAAAGAGATCGACGTAAGCAATGAAATATTGTATTACTTAAATGATTATTTATAGTTCGATGTAGGATAATATTACAATTAGTTGATCTCCATGGATTTGGACTAGTTTCACAAGATACTAGTCTACTATCATCATCTATTTGATGAGGATAAGATGAGAAATTAAGTAATTTTTTACATTTACTTAATTTTTTAGATAGATTGTATGGTGGTGTAACTTCAGGAGATGGAGACATCAATGTAGTCGATTCAATATCATCATCTTCATAGACATCAGCATCATCATCTTCATAATCATCAACAGATTCACGTAGATTAGAATGATGATGGAGATTAGAGTAATCAGTATAATGACAATCAATTGGTGTCATTCGTTTGCTTTTATGACGTTTCATTGGAGGATATTGATTAGATTCATGTGTTAAATGATACATTCGATTATCACTTTTATAAGATGATAATGGTGAATTAAAATCATTATGTGATGCTGATGATGATGATGATGAATATGTACGATGATAATTACAATTTGTGTTCAGTAGACGAGAATTCCCATTGATTACTCGACGTGTAGGTTGTTTTTCTGATTTATTTGAATAAGTCACCTATTGGTAGGTTAAAATCAATAATTAAACCCCCATGAAAAACAATCTCATTGTATAGATAGAGGAAAAAAAAATGATCAGTTAAATATATTTAAACGAAAGTATAACAGTTAAGGGAAGATACGAAACCTATGAACACTGAGGAGTCAGCTGTTTAGTTATAATATGCGAGCCCTTAGCAGTGGGCACCTACAACCCCGTCATGCCCGGAATCGAACTCAGGAACTGGAGATTCCGTGGCCAGCATGTTATCATTGAGTTAGCCACTGGGTTGGCCAGTCCACTGGTCCATACTACCTTCTCCTATACCGCGACCTACATCCAATGTCCTCATGTTCGACTTGGTTAACTTCACTGGTTAGAACTTCTAATTGGAATTCCCAAAAACACCTCTCGAAGCTAATCACCAATAAGCGCTAGATGAACTAATATCCGTTCATGATGAATTGGAACCCAAAATCAATTAATAAACCTCCACAAACCTCCAGATAGAATTAGATATTGGAGTTCAAGAGACAAGAGAAACAACCAGTGGTTAAAGACTCCGGTTGATATGGCTTAGAACCGATGTTGGTGGCCCAGGGTCAAGTTCCCTGTACTGCAGTCCTACCTATTCTACTACATTAATGGTAGAGGACATGAGAAGACTTTAGATATTTGACAGTCTCCGCCTTGGTAGTATAGGCCATGTTTCGTGGTGTCACCACGTGAGTAACGCAGAAGTCAGATGTATAGTTTTAAGCAGGAAAAAGTAAGAGTTGATGTGGTTGTGAACCTTCATCAACTTAGATGGCTGACTGGGACATGTGTTACATGTGCCTAACCACAGTTCGCCTCATCGCACAATGTTGTCCGAAGTAGGTTGTGGCTGGGGGATGGCCAGACTAAAACATTCCATCAATCCATGAAGTCGTTGACTGTTGGTTTGAGTCATGTGAGGCGATGCAGACTAGACGGTTGGGGTCCACGGGACAAGACAAACCACTAGTGGTTGGAGACTCTAGGTGATGATATGCCTGAGAACCGATGTTGGTGGCGCAGATGTATGCTGTATGATGTGGTGATATGAGATGAGATGAAGTGTGGCAACTTGGACCAATGTGAAGTCAATAATGCCTGTTTCAATGTTAATCATGAGCATGAGGATGTTGTTGTTTCAGACGAAGAAAAACTACCGTGATTTGTGTAGACAAAGTTACACTGATTATCTTACAGAATGTTATCATCACCATCAGTGATATCAACATAGATCCACACATTACTGCATAATGGTCTAATTTGCTACATCTTGTCTCAGCTTATCAAGTAACAAAGTCATAGGATGAAAACTGAAGACAGAAATCGGCGAAACGCAATAGAAAGCGGTAAATGAGAGTAAGGAGGAATGAGAAATTACTAAATTTAGCTTAGCGATTAAGATCAAGTCAATTCTAAGGCATATCATACAGAGTCTCCAACCCCTAGTTTCTGTTGTTATGTGGACCCAAACCAGCAAGTCTTTATTCCCCAACATTACTCAGACTATGAATTGCTGCCATGTTTTATTCTGGCCACCCCGAACCTTTCTCCAGCCTGAACCTACTTTAGGCAACATTGCGCGGTGGGTTACACAGTGATTAGATATGCATAACACATGTTCCAGTCAACAATCTTAGCCAATGGAGGTTCATAACCCTAATAACTAACTTTCCTCTCCTCCCTAAAACTTTACGTCTGACTTTTGTATTAATGACGTGTTGACACCATGACACATGGCCTATACTATGAAGGCAAAGTTGGTCCAACACCTGAACCCTTCTCATGCCTTCTACCTTTCTGGATCAGGTTTTACCGCCACAGAGTAGATCAGATCGAACTACAGCAGACTGCATTCAAACCTCAATCGACAGTCTGATATCACAGAGGCAACACAAATGGGGTAAGTCGGCCAAAGTTAAGAAAGCATTTTATATCCGTCAAGGATTGAGATGTAACTTCCTGAGTAAGTGAGGCATTCAACACACTCTCATTATTGTTCGACAAGTCACCGGTGAAGACTAGTCCCAGAGGAATAATTTCGATTTAGATCATCATCATCATCATCAATATCAACGATGGACCAGGTATTACTGCATAACACTCCGAGTTGCCACACCTCATATAATAACTACATCAACTAGAAAGGTAGTCACGTCCAAGATGAAGATAAGAAAACTCAGTCAAAAGAAATATAAACTACCAAAAGACAGAAAACGAAGAAAGAATGAGGAAATGGTGACATTCCGTATAGCATCGTTAACATGACGATAATGTGTGTCGGGATACATCTGCGCCACCAACATCCGTTCTCAACCATATCACCTACAGTCAGTCAGTCAGTCAGTCAGTCTCCAACCACTGGTTCCTCTTGTCCCACGGACACCAACCACCACTAGTCTGCATCACCCCCACATGGCTCAAACCAACAGTCAAACACTCTATACATTGGTGCCATGTTTTAGTCTGGCCACCTCCACCCTTTTCCCAGCCTGGAACAACTTCTACCAACATTGTGTGACGAGGCAATCGGCAACTAGGCATACGTAACACGTGTCACAACCATCCATCTCAATCGATGAAGGTTCATAACATCGTCAACTGATTTACCTCTACTCCCTCGCTAAAACTCTATACCTCACTTCTGCATTACTCACCTGGTGACACCAAGAAATACGGCCTATACACTACGAAGGCAACGGTGGTCAAACACTTGAAGCCGCCTTCTCATGTTTTCCACCTTCAATGGTGATGTTTCACAGTCATAGAGTAGAACAGAGTGGACTGCTGTGCAGTACACATGACCCTTAATAGATAACCGGATATCGCGGCGGCGCCATAGGTGGCGTAAGTTGGCGAAAGCCAATCGAGCCTTTTGTATCCGTGCAGAGATTTCACGGCGCAATGATCCAACTTCCCAGGTGGTGAGAAACCCATCCCAAACATTCTCAAATTCCCACTCAAAGTGTTCAGAAGACTCTGCATCTTGTCAGCGTCTTCACCTAACAGGACTGACTATGTCATTTGCATATTCTAGGTCTAACGAAAATTCTCCACCGATTAGGTCAACGTCTGTGTAATCAGGTGACAAGAGGGAGAACTTCATAAGAATATCTACGACGAAATTGAATTAGAATGGAGACAGTGAGCATCCTCGATGGACACCACTCGATGAGCATAGCTCCCTGGACATCTCACCATAGCTTCTAACACGCCCACAAGTGTTTGAGTAGACAGGCTTCAATAAGGTGATGTACTACTCGGCACGTCTTTCAGTGAGAGACATTGCCACAAGACCTCTCGATCAAAGGAGTCGAATGACACCGCCTTCAGGCCGAGAAATACAGCTATTTTCGGGCGTCCTTAAGCGTGTCTATGTCCCAGGACCTGGCGCAGTGTCAATATTTGGTCGGTACACACACGGCGGGGTCTAAAGCCTGCCTGGTTTTCTCGGGCTTGGTGTTCCCGAGCTCCATTCAGGCGTTGAAGAATTATAGAACCTAAAATCTTGGACACTATCTTCGTCAGGCTGATTCCTCTGTGGTTATCACTAGAGGACTTCTAACCTTTCTTGAAGACTGGCATAAACACTAATTTGGACCAGTCAGAGGGGATCGTATTTGATTCCCATATACTGGTAAACACTTCCGTTAACCTGACTAAGAGCACCTTACCACCATCCTAGTATACCTCTGGAGTTAGTCCGTCTGGTCCTGCCACCCTTCCTCGTTTCAGGTTATCAGCTGTGCCGGTCAGTAGTAACCTGTTCCTATGTCGATCTTGATGATGATGATTATTGCGTTAACCAAACATCGCTTACTGTTCCAACATGCAGTTCAACAACCACATAAACGCTAATCACATTGAGATTTAGCGATTATCATGCTATTGTCAAAACGATATTCTCCCATTGCAATGACTTCATTTGTAGACATTTAGGTTTGGACGCTTAGCTACACGTCGTTCACTAGCAAATGGATTTTGAATCCAAACTTTAACCTAAGCAACTGAAGGAAATAGTAAATTTTTACACATCAAGTATAATTCATAAGTATGTGTCCTACCTACTATTACTCAATCTTCCTGATTGTGGTCGACTGGATCATGCAGCAAACCGTAAGGAGCGAGAAGATGAGCATACGCTGGACCGATGCAAAGAGGCTAGAAGATTTGGATTTTGCCAACGATGATGATTTATGTCTAATGTCGTACAAACTCGAAAATTTACAGGCGGAAACGAACAAGTTGGCAGAAGAGGCAGAGGAGCGAAAAGGGGACTTCAAGTGAGTGTAGAGAAGACAGAGGTGATGAAGATACCCGATCAACAATAACAACAACAAGCATCAATCACCATGAACGAGAAAAACCTAAAGGAAGTAGTCTCTTTCACCTACCTACCTGCCTAGGCAGTATTGTTTCGACTACAAGTGGCACTGGCACAGACGAGGATGTCAAAATCAGGATCGAAAAAGCAAAGCAAAACAGGCACTCACTAATCTCAAATGTTCAGTGTGGAGATCTACTGAACTCCACTCAGCAAAAACAACGAGATCCCGATTTTCGACACGAATTCAGTCAAGTCAGTGCTTCCATGTGACGGTTGAGAGACTTGGCGCATCACGAAAAGCATTTCAAACAAACTACAGACATTCATCAACAGCTGGCACCTACGCCCACTCCATACTGAAGATCAGATGGCCAGAATAATAAGAATAAGCAACAAGGAACTCTGGGAACGAACCAACCAAGAATCTATCACCCAACAAATAAGCAGAAGAAGAATGTGGAGATGTATTGGACTGCACAGACACTGAATAAACCTTTCAAGGACATCACGCGCCAGGCAGTCGAGTGGAATCGAAAGGGGAAACGACGTCCCAGATGGGAGTGACATGGAGGAGATTATGTGAGGAAGAAATGAAAACCTGCGGGCAGTCGTGGAGCCAGGTTCGAAAGACTGCAGAGAACAGAGTGCAATGCAGTGTTACTGAAGCCCTATGTTCGATTAGGAACCCAAGAGACAAATAATAATAAGTGTGTCAGATACTTAAGTTGAATTGCGACCATTTTAAAGTGCTATGTCATTTCCCTTGCATTTTTAAGAATACTAATTTCCATCGTAACATCAGGAACAAGATACTTAACGAAGAGGCTCTTTTCAGTGAATTTATGTTAAAGCCAATGATAATAATGTAGATTACGTGTTATGTGTAATGGTTCATAGAAGGTATATTAACTCAGAAGAGGGTGAAGAAATCGATGAAGGCGGTTAATCAATTCAGTATTATGTAATAGGATTAGGCAAGTTGGTCAAGATGAAATCAATGTTTTCGAAAAAGACAATTAAGACAGTACTGTGCAATGGATGATTGAAAGTGAGATGAAAATTTCGACTACTGCCGGATTCAAACCAGCGACCAGTAGGTTCCCGGCTTGATGCTCTGCCAATTGGTCTACGAAGTCCAACTCCACCGAAGCCGTTTTCAGTGAGAAGTTGGCTAGGCAGTTATCGGGACAGAAGACTACCACTCATCCAGAAGAAGCTTGGTACCGTCTCCAGTCTGCTGTGAAAACAGCACTGAAGAGTGTAACCGACTCCGAAAGAGTGGCTAAAAACAGCCAGTGGATATCAGCAGCTTCTTCCGAGCTAATGGATACACGTGAACGCATCTCTGCAGGCCCCGAGTACAATGAAGAGCTGGCACAGCTTAAAAGTAGATTTAGAAAAAGTCTACGCGACGACCGCGAACAGTGATGGGCACCGAACGCTAAAGAGATAGAAAGGCAGTGGCGATTGGCAACAGTAGATAGCTATTTAGACTTATTAAGGAAACTGGTAGGAAAAGGTCAACAACAGAGGACGGATCTGAGATTCACTCGCAGGGGAGACGAATGGAACGATGGGCAGAACACCTCGAGGAACAGTTTAACTGGCCTCCAGCCACCATTATGTTGCCTGCTATCCAGTCGAATCCTGAATGGAACAATGAGATAGGCCCCCCAACGCTAGCATAAGTCGAGAAAGCGGTAGGTAACCTGAAACGAGGAAAGGTGGCAGGACCAGACGGACTAACTCCAGAGGTATACTAGGATGGTGGTAAGGTGCTCTTAGTCAGGTTAACGGAAGTGTTTACCAGTATATGGGAATCAAATACGATCCCCTCTGACTGGTCCAAATTAGTGTTTATGCCAGTCTTCAAGAAAGGTTAGAAGTCCTCTAGTGATAACCACAGAGGAATCAGCCTGACGAAGATAGTGTCCAAGATTTTAGGTTCTATAATTCTTCAACGCCTGAATGGAGCTCGGGAACACCAAGCCCGAGAAAACCAGTCAGGGTTAGGAGTTCACAACCGTATCAACTGTCCAACCTCTCCCCACATGATGACACCACGAAACACAGCCTACACTACGAACGCGACGGTGATCAAACACATGAACCCTTCTCATATCCTAGACCTTTAATGGTCATGTTTTACAGCTATACAGTAGAACAGAGCGGAGTCCATCACATTATACTTGATCCTTAATAGATGATCGGATATCACGGCGGTGATACAGCTGGTGTAGAGTGGAGCTATATGGCTCATGAGCCTAGATAGATGACCTTCAACAACATCGCTCCACCTGCAGAGATTTGGCTAGTTAGTTAGTATCATCGGGCCACATATATACACACACAGACAACTAATTAATGACAAGACAATATGTAGATGAATAACTCACTTCAGATAAAAAACTTTTTCCAATTAATTGATGTTGTTCAGCAGCAACTGTAGCTGCTGCAGCAACCATTGCTGCTGCTGCTGCAGCGCTAGTCATTGTTACAGCTTTTTTAGTTGATAAATCTGTATTGAGTTGTGTCTTATCAATAGAAGTTGAAGATAACTTTTCTGTATTCAATTGTGAATTTTTAAACTGATCATCATTACAATGTAGAGAACTATACACATTAGAAGTGGATGGATATGATGATGTTGTTGATGAGTATGGTATTCTTTCTAATTGTGAATTCATTTTATTTTTAAATTGTGTTAATCGAAAGAAATTGGCTGAACCAGTTACTGCAGCGGTTGCAGCAACAGCTGCTGCTGCTGCTACAGCTTTTGCAGCTGAAGCCATAGTTGTTGTTACACTAGAAAGAAAGAAAAAAAGATTTTTTTTTTTTAAGATAAAGAAAAACGCATAACACCTATCTTTTATAATAGAACAATGAAGTTAGTTATTCATCTACAGAGAATATCTTAAATATTCAATATTAGAAATTGTGTAATGTTTGACCGCTACATCACATGATTATACCAAGAGAAACTTCGAAGAAATACGCGTTAACACTCCCAGTCACTCCCTCCACAACTCGCTTACCCACTCACTTACTCTCCAACTCACTCACTCACTCACTCTGCGATTCATTCAGCCATAGTCACTAATTCCACAACTCACCCACTCACCGTCACTCCTTACTCACAGCCACTCACTCCACAACTCACTCATTCTGCAACTCATCCTCACTCACTCCACAACTCACTTACCCCCTCACTCACTCAATAACGCACTTACCCACTCATTCACTCTGCAACTCACTCACGATGGCTACGAAGGCAGCTACAATCAAAGACTTATAACCTCTATAAGTCTTCCACTTTCAATGGCCATGTCTCACAACCATATAACACAACAGAATGAACTGTACGGCAGTATACCCGTCCTTTGAAAGACATATCTAGTCAATTCACACTGGCTTAGTTGAGTTACCTCGATTAACTAAAAGGCAACACTTTCAACTCGTAGATTCTTCAACCGTCAAGACTGACAATAATATTATATAAAGTATACAGTCAGCTTTACTAACAATTAATAATAATAACTACGATTTTACCTGGACCAATTAGCTGCATCTGAAGTGATCGCATCCTGTAGAGAATATTGACTATCTAACAAGGGATTTGAACACTTACAACGATCTGATGATGAAGTCTGTGGAGAATTATTGACAGTATTCGATTGAATACTGTGATAGTTTGTTGAATGATGATTTGCGTTGCCAATGCCTCTGCCGCCTTCGGCACCACTATGTTCACTTTGATCATTTGTACTTTTTTCAGTAGTCATATGATATTGTTTTTTCATCTGTTGCTGTGAATGACAACTGCTTGTACTATTAGTATTACACTTATTATTTATCTGTCTTGATGACTTGGATAGTAATGATGATCCATATGATGATGACAATGATGAAGTTGATGATTGGACAGCATAAATAAAATCTTGTTGATTACAGCCTATTAAATTTTCTACTAGCATTGCAGCAACTGAAGATGGAGCTGAATTCTTAGCAACATTACTGCCAACTCCACCGCCGACACCACCACCACTAGCTGCAGCAGCTACCGCAGCCATTGGTTGAGAGAAAATAGCACCTAAAACGAAAAGTGAACCACCGATTCAAAAATACAACAATACTTTGAAGTTTAATTATATACGGGGAACAATTTATTAAGAAACTACAATTTCAAAAGAAATCTGACAATAAGCCTTGAATCAAGAATTGTCTTAGAAGACACTAGATCTTCACCTATCTAGGTACCATCGTTTCAACTACAGGCGGCAGCACAGGCACATATGATGTCAAAACCAGCCAGGATTGGGAAGAAAGCAAGACAAGCCTTTCTTCATTTATCTGAAATCAGTGTGGAGACCTACTGCACTGCACTTACCATAAAGCGTGAACAACATCCGATTTTCAACGCTAATTCAGTCAAGTCAGTGCTTCCCAGTGCTGAATTACAAGTGAACATAAATCTCCCAACGAAAATGGAAGTTCTGAACGCCATAAAGCTACTGAAATGCGGGAAAGCAGCAGGACCAGATGGAATCCCGCCAGAAGCACTGAGAACAGATGCAGAGACAACAGCGGACATGCTCACACCACTATTGCAGAAGGTGTGGAAGGAAGAGAAGGTACCTGCCCATTGATTGGAAGAAGGGTTACCTTGTCAAACTGCCGAAGAAGGGAGACCTCAGTGTTTGCAACAACTGGCGCGGAATCACTCTCCTGTCCACCCCAAGTAAAATATTAAGCCGCATCATCCTGGAGAGGCTTAAAGATGCACTGGATTCAAAACTGCGACCGGAACAGGCAGGCTTCAGGAAGTACAAATCATGCACGGACCAAATTGCAACGCCACTCTTTGCATCATCATAGAACAGAGCATAGAATGGCAATCAGCCCTCTGCCTCAACTTCATCGACTTCGAGAAGGCCTTTGAAAGCGTCGACCGAGAAGTAATTTGGAAACTGCTTCAATACTACTGAGTACCGCAAACCTTTATCCGCCTCATTCAACAACTATATGAAGACACCTCATGCCAAGTGATTCACAATGGGAAGCTCAGTGATGCTTTTGGAGTGAAGACAGAAGTGAAAGGTGGTTGCCGCCTACTATCCCCCATGATATTCCTGATTGTGGTCGACTGGATCATGCAGCAAACAGTAGGCAGCGAGAAGAGGGGATACGCTGGACTGTGGAAAAGAACCTAGAAGACTTGGATTTCGCCGATGACTTGTGCCTAATGTCACACAAACTTGAAGAGCTGCAGGCAAAAATTAACAAGTTGATAGAAGAGGCAGCTAAGACGGGACTTCAAATTAATATAGAGAAGACAGAAGTGATGAATATACCGCACCACCACCATCAACAACAACAACAAACTCCAATCACCGTCAACGGGAGAAACTTAAAGGAAGTAACCTCCTTCACCTATCTAGGAAGCACTGTTTCAACTGCAGGCGGGACGGACGAGGACGTCAAAGTCAGAATCGGAAAAGCAAGACAGGCGTTCATTAGCCTGAAACCAGTGTGGAGATCTTCTGCACTCAGCATGCGGAACAAGATACGGATTTTCAACACCAACTCAGTCAAGTCAGTGCTCTTGTATGGTTCAGAGACTTGGCGCTTCACGAAAGGCATTTCCAATAAACTACAGACATTCATCAACAACTGCTTACGCTGGCTCGTTACTGAAGATCAGATGGCCAGAAAGAATAAGCAACAAGGAACTCTGGGAACGAACCAACCAAGAACCTATCACCCAACAAATATGCAGGAAGAAGTGGAGATGGATTGGCCATGCACTGAGAAGGCCGATTGAGGACATCACGCGTCAGGCCCTCGAGTGGAATCCCCATGGGAAGGGACGAGGGTGACATGGAGGAGATCGTGCGAGGAGGAAATGATAGCTTCTGGGCTGTCGTTGGACCAGGTTCAAAAGATCTCAGAGAACAGAGGTCACTGGAGGCGTGCTACTGAAGCCCTATGTTCCACTAGGAACCCAAGGGACTAATAATAATAATAATAATAATAGTGCTTCCATATGCTTTAGAAAAGCATTTCCAACAAACTATAGACATTCATCAACAACTGCCGCCTACACCCACTCGATACTGAAGATCGGATGGCCAGAATATAAGAATAAGCAACAAGGAACTCTGGCTGGCTGTCAACGAACCTACAAGAAGCTATCACCCAACAAATATACAGAAGGAGAAATTGGAGATGGGTTGAGCATACACCGAGGAAACTATTCGGGACCATCAGGCACAAGGCCAGGCACTCGAGTGGAATCCAAATGGGAACCCACGAGTTGGGTGTCCCAGCTGAGGGTGATATGGAGAGATCACGTGAGGAAGAAATGAAAGCTTGTGGGCAGTCGTGGCGCCAGGTTTAAAGGGCTGCAGAGAAGAGAGTGGAATGGAGGCGTGCTACTGAAGCCCTATGTTCCACTAGGAACCCAAGGGGGAATTAATAATAAAATAACATTACATAATTAGATTCCAATCAATTTGATTCAGCGCCGACAGTATGCTACCACGATAAACTATCAATCTTTGTAATTCATACTCAGATTAGGATCATTAATCATAAAACATGTTTCGATTAAAAAGAAATCCAAATTTATACACAGCAACGTTGTGTACACTCATGGAGCAGTAGAGTTGTGGGTCACTGGTTTACAAAGCTGACTATCAACCAGTAGCTCACCTGCCACCGTTGGGAGAGCAAGGCAATAAGTATCATTAGCTCTCTCTCTCTCTCTCTCTCTCTCTCTCACACACACACACACACACACCCGATAGATGTGGCTCATTGCTTACTTACACGAATGTGGAAGCGGTTTCAGTAGACACTGAGCAATACATTGTGTGAGGGCTAATGATATTACCTAACTGGCTGTCCAGACTTTAGTTAGTGGAGTGGAGTTGGAACCTTTAACCCAGTAACTGGAAGTCAGCTTAAATCAATGAGCCACAATTGATTCTGTATATTGTTGAACATCTCACAATACACAAATAATATAGAACGGTTGACAACCGCTTTGCTATCAGTGTGAATGAATATTGCCAGACAGACAAAATCAACATGAATCTAGCACAGGTTGCCTCGCTTCACATACAGTTTTACAAAAGAAACAAGCGAATAGGATAAGTGATAAATAATTTAAAAAAAGTAGACAAAGCTGTGTCAGAGAATAAAGGTTATTGTGAAAATTCAAGCTTCAAAACATATCAAGGAGTGAATATATTTGTGTCACTGTGATTAACTGATGTTCAGCCATGTCATCAAGAGTTCTATATCGTCTCTATACGACTCAGAGGGGACTTCATCGACTGATATTTAATATAGACGTTTTGAAGACCATTTCAAAATTGATTTTACTAGTCAGGATGACGGTTGAAAAATCGGCCTTTTACTCTAGAAACTTAGTCCAACAGAACTTGATACCCCTACTTCAATCTCATATGATCACAACCAACGCAAACGCACATTTGAGGAAACAACCAAATCATCAAGCCAATCCATCTTGGTGACCATTCATTTCTCTTCAATATCCCCTTCCGATGCATGAAGTTAACAATAAATGATCGTGATGATTTCCGAGCATATGTTGGACTTGTTAATTGACATCCATCCATCCAGATCAACCTAGAACCAGGCATTACTGCATAACGCTCCGAGTTGCCACACCTCATATAATAACTACATCAACTAGAAACGTAGTCACGTCCAAGATAAAGATAAGAAAACTCAGTCAAAAGAAATATAAACTACCAAAAGACAGAAAACGAAGAATGAGAAAATGGTGACATTCCGTATAGCATCGTTAACATGACGATAATGTGTGTCAGAATACATCTGCGCCACCAACATCCGTTCTCAGCCATATCACCTACAGTCAGTCAGTCAGTCTCCAACCACTGGTTCCTCTTGTCCCACGGACACCAACCACCACTAGTCTGCATCACCCCCACATGGCTCAAACTAACAGTCAAACACTCCATACATTGGTGCCATGTTTTAGTCTGGCCACCTCCACCCTTTTCCCAGCCTGGAACAACTTCCACCAACATTGTGTGATGAGGCAATCGGCAACTAGGCATACGTAACACGTGTCACAGCCAACCATCTCAATCGATCAAGGTTCATAACATCGTCAACTGATTTACCTCTACTCCCTCGCTAAAACTCTATACCTCACTTCTGCATTACTCACCTGGTGACACCAAGAAATACGGCCTATACACTACGAAGGCAACGGTGGTCAAACACTTGAAGCCTTCTTATATCTTTCACCTTCAATGGGCATATTTCACAGTCATATATCCTACAAAATGATGTCCCTACTACTGCGAATAAAACTCAACGAATCACACATGTACATAATTTATTGCTCATATAACAATACCTTGCAAATTGGTGTTTTTTCATCATAAGTAAATCCGGATATTGTTCCACATGCTGAGTGCAGTCCATCTCCACACTGGTTTCAGGCTAATGAACGCCTGTCCTGCTGTCTTTCCGATCCTGGCTGGCTTTGACATCCTCGTCTGTGCCGTCTGTAGTTGAAACAGTGCTGCCTAGATAGGTGAAAGAGGTTACTTCTTCTAAGTTTCTCCCGTTGATGGTGATTGGTGTTTGTTGTTGTTGATGGTTGGGTATCTTCATCACCTCTGTCTTCTCTACATTCACTTGAAGTCCCGTCTTCGCTGCCCTGCCCTGCCTCTTCTGTCAACTTGTTGGTCTTTGCCTATAGATCTTCAAGTTAGTGCGACATTAGACATAAGTCATCGGCGAAATCCAAATCTTCTAGGTTCTTTTCCGCAGTCCAGTGTATCTCCCTCTTCTCGCTCCTCACTGTTTATTGCATGATCCAGTCCACTACAATCAGGAGTATCATAGGTGATAGTAGGCAACCTTGTTTCACTCCTGTCTTCACTTCAAAAGCATCGCTGAGCTTCACATTGTGAATTAAATTACTTGGCGTGTGGCGTCCTCATATAGTTGTTGAATGAGGCGGATAAAGGTTTGCGGTACTCAGTAGTATTGAAGCAGTTTCCAAATTACTTCTCGGTCGACGCTTTC